TCATTGACACCGCTATTATTTCGTTCCTGTCTTGTCTTTGTTTTAAAAGAGGATTATTGGAATTTCAATAAAACCTAGACATATGATAAGAAATTTATACATTCTCTTTGTTCTTGAGAATTAACAAAAAAAAAAATAAACACCAGTTATATATTAGCTTGCTTATTTACACTATTTACTTAATAGATTGTTTATTGCAATGGTTGGCAAAACATCGTCAATTGATTCAAACTTTATAAAACGGTAAAAAATAACGATTTCATTATAGATATTTCAGATATTTTAGTAATTTAATAAATGCTTTAAGTTTATGAATAAAAAATTATTTTCATATTTAATTATTTATGAATTGGTAAATGATAAATATTGCATTGTTTTAGTTTTAAAACAATTGTATTAGTTTTTAGAATGTTAATGGAATATTTATTTATTAATCTGAGAGATTTCATTACTTAAACGTAATTTTAGTGGATACCCATGTTAAAGTAGACGCTCCGTTTATTTATTAAACACTATATTTATTTATTTTTGTTTGCCCCCGGAATATTCCAGAAATCTTATTAAAGAAAAGATGCGTCCTCCGGCTGGATTCGAACTATATATATATATATATATATATATATATATATATATATATATATATATATATATATATATATATATATATAAAGTCAACACTTAAAGGCGACAGTCTGTTTCTTGCTAGATGCAATCGTCATCTATAAAGAAACAGAATATCTGCTAAGTGCAATTTATCATCATTTTATGATTTACACACGCTCTATCTCTGATATTGAGCACTTTTTATCCCATAAATATAGCACATCTTAAGTCTATATTTCTTCATATATATATATATATATATATATATATATATGTGTGTGTGTGTGTGTGTGTAGAGAGAGAGACGGGGGAGAGAGATTTTCTACTCTGAACTAAAAAAAAAATAAATAAATAGAACATAATATTTCCTCAAATAACCGTAAACATATCAGTCTACTATAACATAATCAGATCCATTCTAAATGTAAACAAGATGGAAAAAATCCTAAAAAACCCTGATAAATCCCAATATATCCCACTCAGATCCAAATAAAAATAAACTTAATTATATACTATATTAAATTTAATACAATTAACTTAATAGACCCTAATAACTCTTACCCACTAATTAGCATATTGCAGAAAACCAACACTATATATGATTTTAAATGTCTCTTGGGAGACTGATTCTCCGACAAAAAAAGCTAAGTTATATCTTGGATATTCTGCAATAACGTCATCAAGGCTTCTCATTCGACACATGAATGATTCATCAGCCAATGCACAAAACATTTCTGTCCACATTCACAATTTAGAAAATATTAGTCGACAATGCCTGTATACTTGACCAAGAACGGAATAAGCAGAAACTACAAATTCTCGAAACAATTTTTATTAAAAAAATAAAACCAACCATAAAATGAATTGTGAATATAATACAAATGTTCTGAAATGTTTATAGTAAGTAGCCCCCTCAAGAAATAGCTATGTTAAAAGTGAACATTTTTAAAACAAGCAAACTATAACGTCCTAACAAGAATTCAATACTTAACTAAGTTACTTCCCTTACAATGAAATTTTTACAACACAGAAAAATTTTAAAATCACCGTTTGTGACTTTGCGCATGACCGGAATTGGTAACGGTTTGACCATAAAACCCAAAATTTAATTCGGACAAACACAATTGTCGTAACCATGATATCCCTGAAGATGATAGTGGAAAATATCAAAAGTACCTAGAAAATATAAATGAATAAATATAAATATGGTACCTTTTTTCTTTGTTTCGAAAGAAATTTTCCTGTTTCTTAATACTTTGCTTAGCTTTGGGAAGGCATCTTTCGCTATCCCAATACCCTTTCGGATTTCTTTGTCGCACTTTCCATCCTTTGTTAAAACGCTTCCCAGATATTTAAATTGTTTTTTTTTTTTTTTGCTTGATTTTGCTATATCCAATTTGTAATTTGCATGTTGTTTTTTTTTTTTTTTTTTTTTTTTTTTTTGCTACAATCATGCATTCTGTCTTCTTGCAAGTCTTTTCTTCCTGCCTTCCTTTGCTACCTTTTCTAGAATTTCTTCAAGTTTCCTTTCTATGTCTGCTATCAGCACTACATATCTTGTATTGTTAAGATTGTGACAGAGAAAAGGGAATTCTGATATGCCTTCTGATTCTCATATACGGTATAGGTTTAGTTCGGTCAGAAGACACATCTTGTCTTCAACCACTTTCTACTTTTGGAAATTTACTGAATTCATTTTCTATCCGTATGCAGGCCGTTTTCTGACAGTACATGTTGTGGGATATTCGAATATCCTTCTCAAATATGCTATGGCTATCTAAATCCACGTTTTCTTAAGTTTTGCTGCCGGCGAATATATGGCACTTCATTCAATTTTCTAACTCCCCAACGATATTCCTCTTCTATCCTCGGCGATCATGACTCTCTACAACTTCCAATCCTCTGCAGCTCTTAACAATATTTGTCTTTTTACTACCCCTCCCATTTTCCTTTTCTGCAATCCATTCGTACAAGATCCTTAGGCAGGTTACTTGCTTATTTGTTTTCCCTCTCTTACCTTCAATATACCATGTGAGTGTCAAATTTTCTAAGCCTCCTTTTCTCATGCGATCAAGTAATTTAAACTGTTTCATTGTGATTTTAAGCTTAAATGTCTTTTTTGTTTCTATTTTTCTTTCAAATTTCTTCGTTGATTACAGACACTTTTAAATGTATTCTCAGCATCCTACTGTAGAAACATATTTCTGTTACCTCAGTTATTTTCCTCTTTATCTTTGAGGAAAGTGTCAAGCATTCATAGTTTCATAGATTCTTATGACATAAGTTTTCAGCAGGTATTTCTTAGTTTCTAACAAATTTTCCTGTTTCTTAATACTTTGCTTAGCTTTTGAACGGCATTTTTTGCTATTCTTACGTACGTTCGAATTTCAGTGTCACATTTTCTATCATCTGCAGAAATGCTTACCACTTATTTAAACTTGCTTGATTTTTATCCCTAATTGTTAGCACGTATCTTTTACTTATTCTCTCCTGTCAACAATATATTCTAACTTCTTTCAAGTAATCTTTTTTGTTCGGTTTTATTCACGGCCTTCTCTGCAAGTTCCTGTACATTTTTTCTCTCTTTCTATCATCAGTACGGTGTCGCATTCATATACTATACTGTTAAGAAAGTTGTCAATGGCAATAAATCCTGCTACGAATGCGAGTTCGCTAAGGACCGCTTCGCTGTAAAAGTTGAATAAGAAACTTTTTTTTTATTTTTTTTTTATTTTTTGTGTAATAGAAGAAGAAGAAGAAGAAGAAGAAGGAGGAGAAAGAATAGTAGTAGTAGGAGGAGAAGATGGAGCAGAAGAAGAACAAATAAGAAGGAGTAGTGGTAGAAGGAAGAGGAGAAGAAGAAGAAGTAGCAGTAGGAGGAGGAGGTGGAACAGAAAAAGAATTGCGAGAAGAAGGAATAATAGCAAAAGCAAGAGTAGAAAAATAATGAGGAGGGGGAAGAAGAAGAAGAATAAGATGAAGAAAAAGGAATAGAAGAAGTCGAAGAAGAAAAGAAGGAGAAGGAGGAATAGTAGTAAGAGGACAAAATGAAGAAGTAGGAGGAGGAGGTGGAGCAGAAGAAGAAAAAGAAGAAGAAAAAGAAGGAATAGTGGTAGAAGGAAGTGCAGAAGAAGAATGAGTAAGAAGGAGTAGCAGTAGTAGGAGGAGGTGGAACATAAAATGAATTGAGAGAAGAAGAAGAAGAAGAAGAAGAAGAAGAAGAAGAAGAAGAAGAAGAAGAAGGAATGATACTAGGAGGAAGAGTAGAAAAAGAATGAGGAGGAGGAAGAAGAATAAGATGATGAAGAAGGAGTAATATGAGAAAACGAAGAAGAAGGAATAGTAGTAGCATGAGCAGAAGTAGTAGGAGGAAGAGGAGGAGGAAGAGTAGCAGAAAAAGAAGGAATAACAGCAGTGGGAGTAGGTGGAACAAGAAGGGATATTATTAGAAGGAGGAAGAGCAGAAGAAGCGGAAGAAGAAGAAGAAGAAGAAGGAATAATATTAGGAGGAAGAGAAGAAAAAGAATGAGGATGAGGAAGAAGAAGAAGAAGACAATGATGAAGAAGGAATAGTAGCAGTAGTAGTAGGAGAAGAGGTAAGAAATAATAGAAAGAGTGGCTAATGAGAAAGAAAGAAAGAAAGAAAGAAAGAAAGAATGGAGAAAGAAAGACAGAAAGAATGGAGAAAGAAAGAAAACAAATAATGGATAAATAATAAAGAAAAGGCAAGAAAGAGATAGAGAAAGAAAACTAGACGAGAACAAAAGATTAAAAATGCCTCAACGTGGCATGGAACTGGAAAGGAAAAGAAAGGAAAATACATTAATAAATAATTTAAAAAAAAAAAGAAGCAAAGAAAGATGGAAAGGATAACGTATAGCTAGAAGAAGAAGAAGAAGAAGAAGAAGAAGAAGAAGAAGAAGAAGAAGTAGTAGTAAGGGAAGAAGTAGTAGTAAGAGGTTGAGGAAGAGTGGCAAAAAAAGAATGAACAGAAGAAGGAATAATAGTAGTAGGAGGAAGAGCAGAAAGAGCAGAAGTAGTAGTAGAAGGAAGAAGAATGAGGAGGAATAGAAGAAGAAGAAGAAGAAGAAGAAGAAGAAGAAGAAGAAGAAGAAGAGCCAATTTTTTATGCAATGCAACTGGTTTATTAAGCCGATAAAATGGCTTCCAGAAAATATTCACTTGAAAATTTACTCCAGCAGCTAAGATAACTAATTGGATTTAATTAACTTTGCAGTGGCGCCAAAAGCGACAACCACTCATCAGGATATGGACAGAGTTTGATAAACTATAGCACGTTTCTCTAGAATGCTTAACAATTTTTAAAATTTAGAATTTAAGAAAACGAGAGTGCTTGTAGTTTTTTTTTTTAAACAAACAGATTAGCAGCTCAAGGCTTACGGCCATATCACGTTGAAACACCACTTCCCGTCCGATCAACGAAGTTAAGCAATGGTCAGGACGTAGATGGGTGACCATTTGGGAATATCAGTTGCTGTAACCTTGGATAAGCGGTTGGTGTAAAAGGTAACGTTCGTTATCATCATTGAAAATGCGATTGGAAATGTCATGGATCCACAACTTCCTCTCCCCAGCTACGGGTTAATTAGTAGGTCTTGTACCCGTAAAATCATTATTACCGCCCCAAAAGTTTTACAATTCGAAAATATGTTCTAGCTTTAAGTGATATGGCTTTTTATAACTTTAAGTGATATAGCTTACGGACATGTCACGTTGATACACCTGTTCCCGTACGATCACCGAAGTTAAGCAACATCAAGTCTGCCCAATACACTGATGGGTGACCATCAAGCTTGGATATGCGAGTGGTGTAATGTATAATAGATTGGCATTCTTAACTGGAACACCGGTTTTTCAATTCAAGTTGGGTTTGTTATATTCATTTATCCGCAAAACGCCCTTGGGGAAAGTCTGAATCCACCCTTTCTCTCCCAGCTACATCAGTAAAATCATCCAAAATTAAAATCGAAAAATACTTCCTGGCTTTAAATAACTTGTAAAAGGTCGATAACCCGTAAATAACAAATCAGTCAATTAGCTGCTCAATACACACACACACACACACAAAAAAAAAAAAATTGTTAAAAAATAATTATACTTCATTTTAATTATAACCAGTCCTCACTTTTGCTGTTGTCACAACATTTCGGCCGTTGTGCTCCCCAGACTTCATCAGCTGTATCTCGATCCGGGTAACCGACAGGGAATTCTGTACTGAACCCTTGATCAATATACAGTTGATGAAGGTCGGAGAGTTCAACAAATGAAGCGTTGTGACAACAGCAAAGATGACGACAATAATCTATATAAAAAATGTAAATCATGAGAACTACTCTTCCTAGAAATTCAAACAGTAATTATCCTTTATTTAAAATTACACATTTACTGTACAGACTGTTGCCACTTACTTTTGACTTCGTTGTAGCCTTTTATATTTACTCATGCACTATCTCTGATATTGACCAGTTTTCCCATAAATGTAGCATAACTTAAAACATATATATATATATATATATATATATATATATATATATATATCCAAGTATATAATTGGTGTATACGGAATGAATTCCAATAACCAACAATTACTATTTTAAGAGAGTGCTCAATACAAAGTAGAGCAGATATAATTATTTATTTAGAAAATTTATAACATAAACATGTTATAAAATCACTACAAAAATAGCCATTTTGTTTCAACACTCCCGGTGTCTTATCAAGTGATGATGTTGAATGCAAAACAAATGGTTTTCTATTTCCATTTGTTTTGCATTCAACACCATCACTTGTTAAGACACCGGGAGTGTTGAAACAAAATGGATATTTTTGTAGTGATTTTATAACATGTTTATTTTATAAATTTACTAAATAAATAATTATATAATATATATATATATATATATATATATATATATATATATATATATATATAGAGAGAGAGAGAGAGAGAGAGAGAGAGAAAGAAAGAGAGAGAGACATGTCTCTTAAGGAACTGTATTCCTGATCAAACCAGACTCATAAATAATATTGGTCATACCACAACATACCCATCTGGATGACTTCCGTTACACCTACCTGACCATAGGTCAATTAGGACTCATTTAAACACACACGGAAACCTACCAAATTCCATCCGCAATATACTAGTAGAACATGCAAGTATAATAGTCTCATACACATATAAAAAAAAAAAGATTAAATATAATGGAAGCACTAATCATAAAAAAAAGATAAAACCAACAATCAAAAACATTAACTGTGAACACGGTCACGGCGTGCTGACCGTGGTTGGAAAATTAAATATTCTTATAACTTCAGGCAGGCAAATAAAAAAATCCACACAAAAGAGGGATTGTTGTGTTTGTGTTTGGGCAACAATCCCTCTTTTATACAAGTTTCATGAAACACGTTTTACAAGGTACTGCGATTAAGTTTTTAATTTAATTTTTCTTCTGTTCTTACAAGTGTTTTATTTTCTGGACAGAAAGTATGTAAAAACTGTTCAAAAGTTATGTATATCTGAGACCTTTCGGATATTTTTTTAGCCATTATCAAGGATGATTTCAATGTTTAGTTCTTGTTTTTAATTGAAATTTTATATATATATATATATATATATATATATATATATATATATATATATATGTGTGTGTGTGTGTGTGTGTGTGTGTGCGCGAGCGCAATGCAATGCACGACTTCCGTAGATAGACTTTTGATTTTATTAATGTCACTGTTTTCTCGTTTTCAGATAATCATTGTCATTTTTCGTTTTCGACTGATATGCAAAAACCCATTTTCCATCACTTGAAAAACACTTTTTGCGATGCGAAAATGCGATGAATGGACAGCATTACTTGTTAAAAGACTGCTTCAAATGAGACTGCTTCAAATAATAAAATATTATGTTCAGTTCTCAAGCAAAATGGGGAAGAATAATGTCACGGCTTTAATATGTATTGTTGCTCTTTTTACTATAAATATTGTCGGTTATTTGATTTTGTTTAGCGGCATATGAACACCTCTGTGGGTTATTTTATGACTTCAACTAAATATATTTTGAATGCAATTGTATGCCTTCAACTACAGATAAAATGCATTGTTGGTCATTTTTAATATAAAAATGTATTGTTAGTAATTTTATTATAAAAATGTATTGTTGGTCATTTTCCTATAAAAATGTAGTGTTGGTCATTTTATTATAAAATGTATTGTTGGTGATTTTACTATAAAAATGTATTGTTGGTCATTATACAATAAATATGTATTGTTAGTCAGTTTACTATAAAAATGTATTGTTGGTCATTTTGCAATAACAATGTATTGTTAGTAATTTTATTATAAAAATGCATTGTTAGTCATTTTGCTATAAAATGTATTGTTGGTCATTTTACTATAAAATGTATTGTTGGTCATTTTGCTATAAAATGTATTGATGGTCATTTTGCTATAAAAATGTATTGTTGGTCATTTTGCTATAAAATGCATTGTTGGTCATTTTACTATAAAAATGTATTGTTGGTCATTTTACTATGAAATGTATTGTTGCTCATTTTACTATAAAAATGTATTGTTGGTCATTTTGCTATAAAAATGTATTGTTGCTCATTTTACTATAAAAATGTATTGTTGGTCATTTTACTATAAAAATGTATTGTTGGTCATTTTGCTATAAAATTTATTGTTGGTCATTTTGCTTTAAAAATGTATTGTTTGTCCTTTCACTAAAAATAGAAAATATTCCAATTTTACTATATAAAATGTATTGCTGGTATTTTTATTATAAATATGTATCTTTATACTTTCATATTGTTTTTATTTGGTGCAGTGCTATTTGCCCATAACCGGGAGAGTAACAACTGCTAACACCCTGGTTCAGAGTGCCCCTGGGAACAACAGCGATCAAGAGGTGGTTCCACGCTGCTCAAAATCTCCTGATCATCGGTCTTTCTGCCGGTTTTAGTTTATCGGCATACCCAGGCCTTTATTTCCTTAACCCCGTGAGCCATGTGTTTCTGAACAATTTTAACCCTTCTGCCTGAGCTCCTGACTCAAAATTCGCAAATAATTGGTATGTAATGCTTTACGATAGATATAAAAATAGTTACAAAAATATAAGCATTATACTTAGCAGGGAGAGAGTATGGTTGCATCCCTTCACTTTATCGCCAGAATTCTTTCTTTGTGTCCCAGTCTGCCCAGCAGCTTCTACCCCTCTTGATGCACAAGCAACGCTGGCATGTTGTGCAGCGAACTGAAGACTTCGCAACCTTGATAGGATAGTCTCTGTAGGCCATAGGTTTTCTGCTTTAATTTATTGTATTTATAAGAGCACACAGCCCAGAGTTTCCTAGTGGAGGTATCTTCTGGTGTCTCTGGGAGGTGGAGGCCGACATTTCAAGCATTCTAGAGCATCAGCATTGACTGATTACCTGCGTACTTCAATTGACCTGGATTCACTCACTAGATCCATACATTATTGATCTAGGAACTTTCTAAAGCTGACGGGCGTGTCTTGCTGGAGGAAAGTTGCTTGAAATATCACGATAAGAAAACACGACGCAAGTGTTTACCCACCGTTCAACCGGTGGCTGCGCATTAAGTCATTTTTCTCTACCACCGGTAAAGCGGTAGTCAGGGTTCAAAAGGTTAAACATTGCAGACTGGCGCTAAAGATTCACAAAGAATTGCATAAAATAACAAAAACGGAATCACTTAAGGTCTACCAACAGCAGCAACGACTAAAATACATAGAACGTGTAACATAATGACATAATCAAGATGGAGGCACGGTGGAGTAATGGATAGCGGCTCGGATTGAGGAATTGGTGAGCCAAGTTCGAATCCATTATATTTTTTCAATCCATTACATTTACTTATGTGCCAATACCCTTGGGAAAGGTGTGAATCCTCTTCTTAAGTAGACAGGGTTCTATAGCCTTGAATGACAACTGGTCTACCGCAGAAAGAAATGGCAACCTACTGCGGAAAAAATCTGCCTCGTCATTCATACATCGAAATATACATAGTCGCCTTAGCGTGTATGGCACATTTCAAATATAACTTTAGGAAGGAACCCCTTCTATCGATAATCGAAAGAGAGATAACAGTTACTGGATTTGTGAAACCTTCTTTCCTGAAAAATTGTTTTAAGATAAATGTATATACATGTCAACTGAAGGCAATACTGTTTACTCGGTCAATGAATTCTAAATGTTTCTTAATAGGGAAACAGCTAATTACCATTAAATGTGATCCCTGAGATGTTAACGACGTGTATAAGAATGTGTACTGATTATTAACTCTGTTAATATTATCAAATGAGTCCGTGTAAATATCTAAATTGGCCAATTAGAGATTAATTTGAAACGGTCTTAGAGATTAGATTATTGATTGTCGTTCTAAGATATGCAACGACGTAGTTGATAATTACCAAAATTAGTTCATACTAATAAATGTAAGAATGTCTTACGCCAATTTTCT